AGGCGTCTGCAGTTGAGGGTGATGGGAAGGACTAGAAGATTTCATGGCCAGAAGGACATGAAGGGCAGGGCACGTCCTAGGAAGGTAAGGACCGTTGTGTCCAGGCACCACAGGTGAGGAGGATGTTGGGGTCCAGGTGCTTTCTGCGGTGGGGGTGTGAGGTCTCAGAGACGGAGCTGCAGGAGGCTGGTCCAGGAGACGGGCCGTGGCATCGTGGAGACCATGGTGGGGCTTGCCTTTGGCAATTGAGCCGGAAGACAAGTCCTGGGGCCAACTTTTCATTGTAGCAAATATAATTTTCTTCCTCCCTCTGCCTTCATCCTTTCCTGAGTTTCCTTGTTTGTTTGTTCTCTCAACTCTTTTAGCACTCATTAAGTTATTAGTGAATGAAAAATGGCCCATGCATCGTTCATGTAAATGACTCCTCCATTAGCGGCCAGCACACAGCACAATTTCTTTGTTAAAAATCCCTGCTAGTAAGGGTTTGGGCCTCCCGGGGGGTGAGCAGACCCTGAGAGACTTTGCTTCATCCCAGGGTAAGGTGGATGAACTGCTTAGCTGACTGGACTCGCCACTGCCCAGAACTGGTACAGACCCAGATGGGTTCTGGTGAATGGGGGTGCTATGCAGTTTCCAGAACTGCAAGACAGAACTAGAACATGACTGGATTGTGGGACCTAGAATAGCCAACTACGAGACCCGGAGACTCCTGCAGTAGAGGACAGTATTTAAACTCCTAAACAAAGTAATTATCACCGATTCCTTAAAGGACTTTAGGTTATTTAGCAAGGAAGGAAGGAGAACTATCAGGTATCATAAAATGAGACTTTCACCTTCCAGATGGGTCTTGTTGATGACTCTTCCCTAGTAAAAGCACCAAAACTCCCTCCTGAGTTGCCTGTCGGATATTTGTTCCTCAGAGTGTTCCCCGACCCATCATGGCCTGCCATGACCTGATCTCCAAAGAAGTCACATCCTGAGGTTCTGGGAGTTAGGATTTCAGAGTAAGAATCTTGGGGGGACACACTTCAGCTGCCATCCACTATGGTCCCTCAGCCAAGCTCTGGAGATGTAAAGTTAAATATGCTCAAATGTGGGTCTCCGCAGGCTGAGCAGAAGTACTATTGAGCAGGGAACTATTGTTCCCTGGAGTTAGAAATGTTCAGAGAACCTGTGGCCTGATGGGGGTGGAAGAGCTTCTCTCTGAAGAGATGTCAGCCCAGCAGGCACCTCTGGTCCCATGTCCAGCGCTCAAACTATTGCAGATAGCAAGGGTGTCTTGTCTTCATCTTCTTCCTGTTATCAGAGGGATGTCTGGTTTTTTCTGAATGCTAGCAGAGCAAAGATAGACCAGTGTGATGTGGTTCTCACTTGGGAGACAGTATCTGGTGAGCAGCGAGGGTGTCTGGCGTTAGCCCTGGCCCACAGCTCCCGGCTTCTCCCCACAGCCCTGCTGTGGGGAGGCCCGAGGCTGTGGGGGGGGCCTGAAGCTGCCCCTCGAGTGTCTGTCCCCTGTCATGCTCCATTTGGTCCCCAGGTCACGGTGGTTGGCTGCTGCCTGCCGTGCCTTCCCCATCTGAAGACTCTTGCTCTTTGCCCTAAGCCAGAGCAAGAGTCTGATGAGGGGGGGTCCTTTGGGCTCTGATGAGCACAATGTGAATCCCACATCCTTTCTCATGCCTTGGAGCTGCTTTCTCCATTACTTTACTCTTGGCAATTCTAACTCAAAGCCTGTACTCCCTCCGTGAGAAATGGTCTGTGTTTAAAAAAAAAAAATATTGTCTCCCCCAAGCCACCAGTGCCCACGCCTACTCTGCTTCCATGCCCCACCCTCTGTAGCCTTTCCCCTGTTCCCTCTGGTAACCATTCTCTTCTCTCTTTTTTTTTCCAAGTTCAGTTTTTTATTTCTTGTATTGTTTGCATGCCATTTTTTAAAATTCATATTCCACAGATGAATGAAACTATCCAATATCCGTCTTTAACTTCTTGGCTGATTTCACTGAACATAATTGCCTCAAGGCCCCTCCATTTTGTGCCAAATGCCAGCACTTCATCTTTCTTCACAGCTGTGTAATATTCCATTGAATATGTGCTCCAAGTTTCTCTAGCCAGTCATCCGTTGAAGGGCACTTGGGTTGGTCTCATGATCTGACCAGTGTCAACAGCGCTGCTATGTACATAGGCGTGGCCAGATCTCTTCATGTGAAATTGTTCATGCTGTTTGGATAGACACCTAATGTGTGGGTCTGGGATGATTTGAATGGTGAAGGAAAGTCTTTCCACTTGCCTCTGACTGGGCAATTCAGTGCTTGGGTCTGATTCAGGCATTGGAGAAACTCCCCCCTCTCAAGTTTCAAAGAAGAGAGATGTGCACCCAAGGAGGAGCTGCCGTCTGGTTACCAGCCCATGGTATGAACATAGCCCTGCAGGTCCATGGGTTTTTAGCTATTTTTAATAGTTGGAATTACTCTATCCAAGCCTTGAAATCAAAGCCAAACCTTTCCTCCTTTGATGTCTGAGAGTGAAGGGAGCAGGGAGGAAAGGAAGGAAGCAGAAAGGGAATTAAACAGAGTGTTCTGTATATTGATGGGAAATGTTCAAATACATTCTATTCTAATGTTATGATTATAATATAATCTATAATAAAATATAAAATATACTTATAAAAATATAAGTATAATATATTAGAATGTATTTGAAAATTTTTATATTAAAAATATAAATATATAAAAATTTATATTAAAATATGTGTATTAACTTAGTTGCCTTTAAAAGAGAATGCAGAGCTTTCTGGAAGGGAGCAGAAGTACCGTGATGTCACCCAGATGCCTGCTGATGCTGAGTCATGGAGGCCCCAGTCTCCCCACTTCTCTCTGCTGCCCTCCTCTCTGCTCTCCCCTCCACCCTCAGTGATGTGTAGTGGGTGTAAAGCCAAAGGCCTGAACTGGGCTCAAATCCTGACCTGCTGCTTTGGTTTTTTTAATTCCCCCTGAAGATCCAGGTACTCAGTTTCCATGATCACATGAGTTAATTCCTTTTGTAAAAAGTTTAATTTTAATTTTCAAATTTCATTGATTTTCCAATCATTTCCACAAATATATAATTTAGGGAGCACAACTTTACACCTGGAAGGAGGCTGGGCTTGTCACCCCACCTCCTGGAGGACGTCCCAGCTGCTGCTCAGCAGTGGACACAGCACAGCTCTGCATCATGCTAGCAGGTCTGAGGCCAGGCTCTGCCCCTGACCTTGGGGAGTGACCATGACCTTGGGGAGAGGCCTGTGGCCTTGGGAAAAATGCCTCTGTGGCCTTGGGGAGGTCTTTTTCTTAAGTGAATTTTTCACTTTAGAAATATTCTAATGAATATCCCAAAGGAACTTTATTAAAACATGACAAATGGTTTTGAATAATTAGCCAAATATAATAAGTACTCAGAATAAATAGAACAGCCAAAAAGAGCCAAGAAATAACTCATAAGAAAATACTATGGGTGACTTTCACTATTAAATTATACACTGTATTCTGTCTACATTAAATACATGTACACTATATAAATATATATAATAAAGTGACTGTCTTTTAAGCATTGTGAGAATAGAGCTATTGACAGAATTAGCCAGAGAAAAATGAGAAAAAATAGCTACCCACCAAACAAAAGGCATTTGCCAAAAGTAATTAATATGCGCTAAGCATGGCACTTGAAATTCAGAGGAAGATGATTTTTTCCAGTGAGTGTTGCTGACATTGCAAGCTACAAAATATATTTTAAATAGAAGCAAAAACCTAAAATGAAAACCAGTCCCGAAATTACAGATGCTGTTTTGGGGGCAGATTCAGCCTTGGGGGAGGTGGGGGGGCGTCAGGAGGCTGTTTCCCCTCAGTCATAGGGAAGGGAGGTGGTGCCAGGGCTCCTGACCCTGAGGAGCCCTGACCTGGCCCTGCTCCATGCAGGCCCTGTGTGCGCTACCGGCTCTGACTCCTCGGCTGTGCAGTGTGGAGGCCATGACCAAGGCATGGGCATCCTCAAAGCCAAATGCTGGTGCTGCCAGGCTCCTGGCAAATAGTGAACTCTCTCAGAATGTTTCCAAGATCCTGCCATTTTCATGCTTCACCCTGTTTTTGCATTTGTGAAGACTTGTTCTCAGAATTTTCATGAGCTGCGTGAACCCTGATGTTGGATTTGCAGGACAGCACTGGCTTGCCCCAGGGGGTCCTGTCAGCTGAGGGAGGGGGCCAGGCAGAGGCTGTGGCAGAGACTTGGCTCTGGACCCCGGGGTGGCGACAGATGAGCTGGCTCTCATTTTGGAGATGAAACTTACCCTTCAATTATAGCGCTTTCCCCCAGACATCCACCTAAACACGGAGCAAGGCCAAGGCTTCCATTTTAAGACCCTAATTGGCAAGTGTACCCTCGAAACCCCATCATAACTGCTCTGAAATTGCAGTGCACGCAGCATCTGAACACTCCCCAGCTCCGCTGGCCACACTGCACCATGTACCACTAGGACTGATTGTGAAAATAGCACCACCGAGGATGGCAGAGAGGTGGCTGCCTGGGGTCTTTTGCAGGGAGGCCAGGTCCTCCTTAAGAGAGACACAGCTCCGGAATCTGAGGATGCCCCCACGACTCCAGGATGAGTGTGGGTGTTCATGCTCTCTTGCTAAGCCCGTGTAATTGTGTTTTTGGTGGCTTTTCAGGATAACCACTTCTCTCTCTATCTCTCTCCTTTAATTAAAAAAAAAACAAAAAAAAAACAAAAAAAAAAACATAGTGGTGCTAGGTTGTTCTCTACTTTATTTACCTGCTTAATTTTAGTGACCTTCAGTGTTCAAGCGGTGAGGGGCAGGTTGGAAATAACAAATGATTGGCTTCTCTATGTAGCTCAGACCCCTGCCCCCCACCCCCCCACCACACACACTCGGACATACATTTTTGACTGATGAAAGCTCTCGTAGGATGGAGAAATCATGGTGTGCTGACCTTCCCTGCCTCTCTCCTAGTCTCTCTGGCCTCCTGGCAGTCCCTGGACCTCTCTTCAGCCATCGTTGACCTGTCCACCAGGAGCTTGGATGTGGTCCACATCAGCACGACCACTCCCAGCGACTTCTCTGCTGCCCGGGACCTCTGTCTGTTGGGTAAGGGGGATTTCCACCCCCTGCATAGGGCGTTGATTGGGAGGAGGCTTCATTCACACCCTTACTCGTCCAGATTGTGACCTCAGAAACACCTCCAAAGCCCCACAATAACCTGGGGGTCCTGGCAACCAGGAATCGAGCTGGGGGAGGAGACCCTGGGTGCACTCTCCTCTGCTGTATCCTCATCCTCTGCAGCCTCAGCCCACAGTCGAGGTCTCCAGTGGGATAAGCCATCCAGAAAGTGAGGGAGAGCAAAGAAGGGGGTGGGAGTTGGCCTGAGGCAGCTGTGACCGCTGTCCTCATGCAGGCGGGCCTGGGCCATCTGTGAGGAGGAAGTGCTGGTCAGCCTCATGGGGCAGAACAGGACTGTGGGTAAAACCCAAATTTCAAGATTTGTAATGCAGTGTGACAGGAAGAACTTTATTAGGCAAAGCTGTTCATAGATGCGTAGTGCCTGGAGGGCTTCTGGTCACTCATGTAAATAAAGGCCAAGTGGCCAGTTTACAGGAATGCTCTACAAAGACTTGAGCTTCTGAAAGAATTTCACATTAGGAACATTTGTACTCCTCCAGTTCTGAGAGTCTCTGAATCTCCTACAAAGTTAGAGAACAATGTGTACATCTTACAGACAGGATCGCCATGCACAGATGTGCACAACTCTGGGTGCTGCATAGCAGGGACTGGGTTGTGAGTAAGGCCTTTAGACTGTGTCCAAGTTGCTCAGTCGAGTGAAGCAGCCCTCTTTTCTGAGCGGTTCTTAGGGCTGAATATCTGAAGGTCGTGAATCATTGAAATTGTCCAGTGCAGGACCTGATACACAAGGAAAAGGGCATAACCCTGGTGGAATATGGGTATGATGGGGGCAGGGGACAGAGGGAGATAAATCTCGAGAAGAAGGCAATGGTGAGAACATGGACAGCCTTGTCAGGTATGGCTTAATCCTGAGGTCAGTGGGGTGTCGTGGAGGTACTTTAAACAGGGAGAGAGCGCATTTGTGAATTAAATAAATGACCCAAAATTGATTGTTGGTTGTGTGGAAAATAGATTGATCGGTAGGATTGGGCCCTGGCACCATCACTTCATCCCCAACCTCTAGCTCAGAGCCTGGGAGATACAGGAGGTGAGCAAATGAATCCGTGACTGATTGCTCAAGCGCATTAATGAATGGATGCATGCATGGGTACATGCGTGATGCATGGATTCATGATGCATGCTTGGATAGAAGGATAGTTGATAGACTTGGAGTCCTTCACTACGGGCTGACCTCACTGGAGGGGTAGGAGACTACAGATGAGAGCCTGCCTGGGGTTTCCCCCCCAGCTTAATTCCTTCCTGCCAGCACCCCAGGTTATCTTAGGATGGATGGCTGGGTGGATAGAAACATGCATAGATTCATGGACGCATGATTGGGTAGATGCATAGTAGGAGCGATGCATGGATTCATGGACGTATGATTGGGTGGACAAATGGGTAGACGCATGACTGAAGTGATGTTTCTGAGGCACAAGCCTCACTCTCCTCCCGCTACTCCGCAGAATGTTCCCGCCACGAGGCCTGCCGCGTCACGACTCTGCAGACCCGACCTGGTGCTGTGAGGTGTGTGTTCTATGCTGATACCCAGAGCTGCACACACAGCCTGAGGGCCCAGGACTGCCGGCTTCTGCTCAGCGAAGAGGCCACCCACATCTACCAGAAGCCCAGTAAGTCCAGGCCTGTGCCTCCGGGGCCCGTTCCGGGGGCCTGAGTGGGACTCTGAGCTGGTGTTGGCTTGTGAGCAGCGACTTGTGAGGTTCTTAGGGAAAGTCTGTGAAAATTATCTTGGCGTTCACCTGGGGGGGACTAGGAAGGTAGAAACCTTACTTCTCACTCCCACCTTCCCTGGGCCACCTTTCTTCATTTCTTCCTTGAAGTCACAGAAAGAATTTTGGCCTTTAAATTTCTTAGTCAAATTATAAAGTGTTTTATGACTGTTCACGTGCCTTATCTCATTTGGTTCTCGCCATCACCCCATGAGGTGGCGAGATAGGGAGTTTAACCCGATCCCATCATAGATCTCAGGAGACTCTGGCCCAGAGAAGTTGATTCACTTCTCTGAGTTCACACAGCACAGGGAAGGGACCAGGAATCCTGTCTCGATGCCTGACTGCCACATGGTGAACCCTGTAGAGGGGCAGCCTCTAGCTCAGTTTAGTTTAAAAACAGGGCCTCCCCTGGTGGTGCAGGTGGTTGAGCGCTGTGAAGCTGTCTGCAGCCTCTGCAGTGTGGGCTCCATCCTGGCCAGCGGTGAGATGGCCACAAGGCGTGGCAGACCTCTCCTGTCTCACCCGCTGCTCCCCTCAGCAGTGTATTTTAGTCAGTCTGCCTTTTCTGTTCCCTGCTCTGCCTCTGGTGAATCCTCTCACCCTCCCGCACATCTGGCCTGCACCCCAGTTCTTGTATGCATGAATAAATAAATCTTAAAAAAAAATAAAAACATCCAGTAAGGAGCCATTTATGTCAGATGTTGGGTCAGATGTTGGGGCTCCAGGGGTGAAGCAGCCAGCAGAGACTAGCCTATAAATCCACCACTAAGTGAAATCTGTATGAGCAGTGGGACAGGTAGCATGGGGGCTGAGGCTCTGGGGTGATCCCACCTCCCCCACGAGACATGGTTACTGGATGAAATTAATAGCTTTTTAAAATGTTGGCTAGGTCTGCCATTTTTTCTTCTAGAGCACAGAATCAAATGTTCTCTGCAAAGGCCAGTTAATAATTACCCTGGGCTAGACAGCCACAGGCTCTCTTATAGCGACCTAGTTCTCCCATGGTGGCAGGCAATCAACTGGGACCACATAGAACTCGGTGGCTATGGCTGTGTGCCAATAAAACTTTATGTATAAAGCCGGGTGGCAAGTGGATTCGGCTCACCTGGTCCTACAGCATCAAGGGGCCTTCAGGCCTGTCTTGACTTAACGGGACCCTCCTCTTGGTCTCCTCCACCGCCTTGGCCTCCACACCAAGAAGTTTCCAGCCTGGACCATTTTGATCTCTGTATTGGAGTCTTGAGCACTTTAACTCAAGGCCTGTCTGCTCTGGGCATTTATATGATTTAGTCAACTCAGATGGATTCGGACGTTTCAGCAACACGGCCGCTGCCCCACGTGGCAGCCCTGCTGGGAGACGCCTTCACTGACTCCTGGGAAACAAATTGGACAGCTGCTCTTGTAGTTCTGTGGGTCTGAAATTCGATGTGAAACGCTCACTTCCGGCAGAAGACCCGTGTTTGCAGGTGTCTATATACGTTGTTCATAGCCCTGGGCGCACTCACACAGCTACCCGAGCATTTTCTTAATCCAGGAGTCACATGGCCTCAACGTGTGGGGATTCTGGAAAGACGCCACCATTTTTGCAAAAGATTCCAGAAGGGAGAACTCCACCTAACGCTTTCCTTATGTTGGCTGGCGTTCAGGCTGGGTAGCACCAGGCCGCCTCTGGAAGAGGGCCGAGTCCCCTGCCCCGGGAAAGCGCTCTTGCATCCCCTCGAAACTCTTCAGCTTTTACATTTTCTGTCTCTCCCCCTCTGCCCTTTGGATGGTGCCACGGTCATGCATGTGACTGTCCCCTGCCTAGAAAATGAGCCAACGAGTCAGCTCCCAAGGTCCCACTGCTTCAGTACCCGCAGAGGGGACGCCTCCGGCCCTCGGGTTTAGATTTGAAAGAGGAAATCTTGCGAGGAGGAACCGCGGGGTGATTTCAGACAGCAACTGTTTCTTTCCATCCTGAGTTTCCTTTTGAGTTCTAACTCACATTCTTTCGCAAAAGCTTCCTCCTTTCCTCTTTTCTTCATTCATTCATTCATTCATTCATTCATGTGTTGAGCTCTCCCAGTTGCCAGGCTCTGGGCTGAGAACACTACCAGCATCCTGGCATTTATTCTTGATATTGTCGTACTGTAGGGACGGCTCTTATTCCCATTTGTAGGTGGAAAATGGAGGGTCAGAAAAATGCTGACATTTCTCCAAAGTAACTGGTCTTTAACATAACACAGGTCAGCATCACGCCCCCACCCCTGACCATCCACCAATTCCTCCCCACGGTGGCCTGCATGCCCTGGGCACAACCCTGGCACCACTGTCTATTGGGTCCAATAACTCTCCCTGGGAAGCCCATCCTATCTATCGCAAATATGCAGCAGCCACCCCAGCCTGCACCCCACGAGAGACCAGCAGCCTCTCTCCCACCTTTGTGACAAGCAACAGTGTTTTCAGATGTTGTCACATGTTCCCCGGGGGACAAAATCAACTCCAGCTGGCCCTTGCATTGTTTTTGAGGGATGCACAGCCCTGAAGAAGCTGCCGTTCAGTTTGCAGAGGAGTGAAGCAATGGCCCTGGAGCGGGCAGGGAGAGAGAGAGGGATCCGCTTCATCAGTGCTTGCTGTGGGCTCCTCTCATGTCCTTTGAAAGTGGACTTGGCCCTGAGCCAGAGCCCGACCAGAGTTACTGTCCCTGGAATAAAGGAGGCCCCTGTGGTAGAGGAGATAAGATGGGGCTGCAGGGGGCAAGAAATGGTCATTAGCACGATAAGGAGGGGCTGGGGCTGGGGGCTGGCTGGGGCACCCTAGCTGTAGGGGCCAGGTTTGGGTTTGGGTCTGCACAAGGGGCAGGGCCTCACAGTCACTTAGGGCAGCAGAGGCCAGAGTGGGACCTAACCTGACCTGTGTGAAAGGGGGTGGTCATAGTTGGGGTTCAGAGGTGTGGCAGTGAATCACCTTGAGCTGCGGGTGGCTTCCCACCCTCCTGGGCCCTGAATTCTATTTCCTCCCCAGTGAAAGGCGAATACAGGACCCTTGTTTACCTGCAATTCTGCAATTCTAAATAAAAAAAAAAATTGGGGGGGGAGCAGGGTGAGCAAACTTGTTTGGTGGAAAATTCTGACTTGAAGTGAGTGAAGAAATTAGGTCCTTTATTCATTTCTCTTCTCGTGAATAATCCTTCACTTCCCCTCAAAATTAACGTCTGTGTTTGAGGACCGGGCTCTACTCTAGGCCTCCCTGGGAGGATTAAGTCCAGTGACTTCTCCTGGGCCCCTGGCCTGGGTTAGTCTCCAGGGGAAGAACTGGTGAGGTTGAACGCTGGGGACGGGATGGGTGCTGAGCATGTTCATTGCCCAGAAGAGATCGACAGTCTTCCTCTTATTCTTGTTTTTCACATGGAACGCTAACTTGACTTGCTGAAACTGAATGCGTCACTAACATTTTTCAAGTTCAGAAAACATTGTTTTGTTTCCTCAAGCATATTCGGAATCCCTGTGAATTGAGCACCCCTCTCTCTCCCCTCTTCTCCAACCCAATGCCCTTCCACAGACACCCCTCTGTTCGGCTCTGGCACGTCTGCACCTTCTGTGACCATTGCCACCCATGGACAGCTGCTGGGCAGGTCCCAGGCCATCCAGGTGGGGACTTTGTGGAGGCAAGTGGACCAGTTCCTGGGTGTTCCCTACGCAGCCCCACCCCTGGCAGAGAGGCGCTTCCGGCCCCCGGAACCCTTGAACTGGACAGGACCCTGGGATGCCACCCAACCACGGTAAGGGCTATGTGGAGTGTCATTGGGTGAATATCCAGAGATGCCCATCTAATCCCTCAAAGTGAGACCTGGTGTCACCGTGGTACCATGGGGTGAGGGGTGTCCTGGGGAAGGTGGCCATAGGTGCTCTAAGAGATCACCCCCAGCATCAGTTACTCAACATTACATTTCCCCTGGGATTCCATGTGACGAAGGAGCAATGTGCTCTGCTCCATGCAGTGACTCAGGGGCCCCGGAGCATGGATGCTCTGGCTCTCAGGCAGGAACATTTCTTGGCACCACTGTCTGACGAAGGCTGTGGAGGAGTCTGCAGGGGAGGTTACTGTGGACCACGCCGCCCGGGGAGGGCTGGTCACTTGCAGCAGGATCATCTCCATCCATGTCTGGGCTCAGTGGGGCCAAAAGTATAGCGGAGAAGGAAAAGCACCAGAGCTAGTGAAAAAGATCTTCCCAAGGGCATTTGTTCCCTCAGAGGGATAAGGTTAAAAGAAATTTTCAAAAATAAGGGGAGGAAGCACGCATATCTTACTTTCTTCCCTCATCAACTTGACTCATCATCATCAATTTCACCCATTCCTTCCCAGGTGGGCAGACACCATTTTAAACAGTTGCCATGCTGGGAAGGGTTTTGCGATTCTTCTAGTTTAAGCACATTCAGAACACTGATGAACATTCTCCACTCCTCCCACCTGCATTTGCTCTTCTGTCCAGTGTCTGTGGCTCAGAACCATGGCCAAAAAGAGTGATGAGTTAGGAGGCTCTGGAATACTCCAGGCAAGGGATGATGAGGCTTAAAGGGGGGCAGGCTGGCAGGCAGTAGGAATGCAGAAAGCTGTGGGGACATCTCCAGGCTGGGGAAGTGAATGCAGTGGACACACCAGCGAGGGTGCTTTTCCAAGTTGGGGTGTGCCTGCTGGATACTTGAGGGGTTGGACTGCATGGGATATGGGTTCAGAGTAGCTGGAGAGCCTGGTTCAAAGTCCAGTGTGGATGAGACTTGGGGGTGAGGAAAGGCCCTTCTGGGGAGGTTACCATCATGGTCTCAGCCGGTGCCTGGAGAACGGCACACTGGCGCACTCAGGCTCGGTGCTGATGGAGAGAGCAGGTGCCTCACCTCGTCCAGCGATAGGTCTGCACGCCTGGAGCCATGAAGGACTGATGTCCCAAGCGCTGTCCTGTCCGGCATCTTTGTTTCTGCACCTTAACATTGATCTGTGTGATCCTGCCCAGGCCAGACGCAGGGACAGGCACCTGCTGTTCTTTGCATTCACCTGCCACGTCAGTCTGCCTTTTCCCTAACCCCCTAATTGCCGCAGAGCTGGGGGACCCAGCTTGAGGACCGGGCCTTGTGCTGTCATGCTGGCAGAGGGTGGGGAGGGGAGATGCACCGTGATCCTTTGCTTGTTTCCCTGAAAGCCAACCATCTTTGCAGGGCCAGCTGCTGGCAGCCGGGCGCCCAGGTGCCCGCGTCCCCGGGAGTCAGTGAGGATTGCTTGTATCTCAACGTGTTTGTCCCGCAGAACGTGGTGAGTTCTAGCATCCTTGTGCGGTGCCTTGGACTCTGCCCTTCCCACAGCTGCCGACATCATCTCTCACCTCCTTGGCGGCCAGTGCTCTGGTCCCGGCGCCTACCCAGCCAGTTCTTGCTTTCAGGAAGGTCTGAACGGCTGAGAGCCTCACAAGGTCTTCCTGGGTCTCCCGTGGCCACTCTGACCCCCCACATCCGTGCCCCAGGCACATCTGACACTCTCAGCCTCTGCTTCCGTGCCTGAGAAGTGAACAAGGATGACATGTCTGGGGTCCACTCTGGGGGTGACACATTCTCCGATCCCCGCAGGCCCCCAACGCGTCAGTGCTGGTGTTCTTCTACAACGCTGCCCAGGCCAGGGCGGGCGGGAGGCCGCTGGCCCTCGATGGCGCCTTCCTGGCCTCTGTGGGGAACCTCATCGTGGTCACCGCCAGCTACCGGGTGGGCGTCTTCGGCTTCCTGAGTTCTGGTAAGTCCGGGCATTGGTGGGACGGCTGCCCCTGGGGCTGAGGCACCCCTTTGTGTGTGTCCAGGGCCCACCCCTCAGGCTTCGGTCCCCCTCTAATCCAGCTGAGAACTCGGGGTGTCCCATGGCCATGAGACCCACAGCAGGCAAAGGGAGAGTTGCCATTTGTGGAACTTACTGTGGGTGTGAAGCTGGTGCTGGGACATTATGTGTTTTGTCCGGTGCTGTGTGTGTGTGGTGTGTGTGATGTATGATGTTGATGTGGTGTGTGTGTGAGCACTGTGTGTGTGCACAGGTGTGCATGCCCCAGGAGGCTGGGTCTCACTTGGTCATGGTCCCCTGCTCGGGTAATAGCAGAGCCGGGACTCTCTGGGGCTGCCAGGCCTAGAGACCTCCATAGGTCCGTTGGTGCTTGGAGCACGGGAGGCCGTCTGACTCGAGGGAGGGCCGTGTCCATGATGCCTCCCTGACTCTGGCCTCACTGTGACCACCACATGTCCCCAATTCATCACAGAGCTGAGGCCTAGACCGATCCCTGCACCCCTTCCCCTCCACCACCTCCACCCCTGCCGGTGGCGGGCGGGCAGGCCAGGCACGCTGCCTTGATCCTTCCTTTCCTGAGGCTCAGTTTTCTTCTCCATGAAGCGGGAAGTTTCTCCAACTTCCAAGGCTCAGGGGAGGTGCTTGTGTGAAGAGGCTGTAGGGCTGTAGAAAATGGGTGATTGTGAGCGGGGTGGGCATCCCACAGGCATGGAGACCTAGGAGTGCTGGGGAAGGAGGTCTGGCCAGATCACCCACATGAGGCCTTGAGGCCAGGAAGAAGCTCCTAGGCCTGTGCAACAAAGGGAATCGAGCAAAAAGTTAGAGCCAAATGCCACGAGGTGCCTCCGTGGGTGATGGTCATATTTTAGATTTTCCTTTATTAAAAGAGTCACAGACTCTTTTTTTTTTAATATTTATTTATTATGCATACATGAACTGGGGTACAGGCCAGAGATGTGGGGGGTGCGGGGATTCACCAGACAGAGTGGGGAACAGAACAGGCAGATTGAAATACACTGCTGAGGGGAGCAGCGGGAGAGGCAGGAGAGGTCTGCTGTGCCATGTGGGCAGCTCCCTGGTCTGGGATCGAACACGTGGTGCAATGGCTGCAGAGGCTTCATAGCTTGTGTCTTAACCCCATGCACCACCAGGGAGGCCCTTAGATTTTCCTTTAGAGGACCATGGTCAGCTGCTGAGCACTGGACACTCTGCCTGGGCTTTCTTTCCTCTTTTCAGACCCACGAGTGACACGGATCTGTTGTCAGTTGCTCCTTCTCTAAGGAGGCAGGTGCACTGAGCACTCCCCATGGTGCTTTGCATAGCCCTGGCTGCATTTCCAGACAGCAGAGAACAAGTCCCCATACGCTGTTTGCCCTGAGGGGGCGGAGGATGGTGACTTCAAGCACTGTCATCTGATAGAGAAGGCAGGTGCCACTGGGAAGGCTGGTAGGGACTGTAATGGGGAAGCAGAGGAAACTTCCAGAACACACACCTCCTCCTCCTCACTGATGACTTACCAGACATTTCACTGAAATTACCATGTTGAAATCTCCAGGCAGCTTGCTGAGGCCAGTGTCCCGTGACTGCTTCACAGATGAAGGAAGAGGTTAGGGAACAGCTGAGCCGGGGCTCCCAGTGCATGTTGAACCCTGTGGCCGGCAGCGGGGTGAGCTGTTATGGCAGCATGTCCCCTTGACTGTCTAGAAACTGGGATTCCTCACTCTCCTGTGTGGGGCCAGATGGGCTTGTACCTGCCACTAACCACGAGTGAGTTGCCATGGCTGTATTTCCCAGCCCTCCTGTCTCTCCCACATCCAGACCGCCCGGCCCGTCTGGAAGATGGCAAGGCCAGGCAGGAGCAGAGGGCTGGGGGAGGCAGGAGGTTCTCCAGCAGGGAAAGTTCCAGAGATGGAAACTGTAACTTTGAAGTGAGAATCATAGCCCCTTACACATCACAGACGTTTCAACAAATGTCTGTTGAACTGGATTGACTGTTAGGACCAAGAGTTCTGAGTGTGCGTCGGGATTTAATCTCTGACTTTATCTCCTGTTCGCTTTTGCCCCTAAACAAACTCCACTTCAGTCTTAGATTCCTCCCCAGTGAAGGAGGGGGCTGGACTGGACAGTCCATCCCAGGGCATGTGCTCGTCTAGCTGCCAGTGCCTGGCAGGAGGTGGGACCCAATCGGGTCTTCTCTGATGGGGGGCTCTTCAACACCCCATCAGCCCTTGGCTTGTAGGAAGCTGATCTATGGGGCGTGAGAGTTGGGGCTATCACCCCACTCACTGTCACTGAAATGCACACTGTGGCTGGCCATCGCTTCCCAGATGCACAGGGCTGAGTCCTCAGGTGGCTCCCAGCTCCCGGCTATATCTTAGACCTGGAGACAAAGGGCATTCATCCGAACAAAGGTAGCCCACTCACACAGGGACATCCCCAGTCGGGGTCCTGCTGGTGGCGTCTTCACCACTCCCAGAACATGGAATGCATTTGCAGAAGTTCTGACAATCTCCCCAGCTGGAAGCGTCATTTAGACTCTGAGCTGATGTCCTTATGAGCTCTGGGAATCAGGGTGCAGGGTTTCTGTCTTCCTATTTGGGATTATGGGGTCTTATTGATCGTTTCTTGCTTGATACTGAATCCTGTTCATCAACACTCTGGTCTTGTAAGCACCTAATGTTTCCTAAGGACCTACTGTGCACCGCTGACTTTAGTGGGGCTGCAGTCTGGCAGGAAATCGATGGTGACACAGACCCAGAAGGGGAATCTTGCTTCCCTGAGGCCTGTGGGCTGATGCGGAGCTGAGACCTAAGGGTGGCTGGGCCAGAGGGCTCGGCCCGGAGGCGGCGGGAAGCACGCGTGCCTGCTGTGAGTGGGGGAGAGGTGGGCTCGTGCGTTTGGAGCAACTGGTAGGAGCCTGGGAGGCTGAAGCCCAGACACAGGAGGAGACAGGGAGCAGTGACCAGAGAGAGGGGTGAGCCCGTCCCCCAGGCCTTGGCCACACTAGAGAACTGAGGTCCTGTGCTGAAGACAGTGGGAGGGGGCGGTGTGTGTATGTGTGAGTGTGTAAGTGGGGGTGCATGGGTGTGTTTGTGTACACTCATTTGATCATAATAACAGTGATGTGTGCCTTCCACACATACCACAATGTGAGTACACGTGCAGGGGTGTGTGTGCAAGTGTGTGTGTGCATGTGCGTGTGTGTGAGGGAGACAGAGATGGTTAAAATGAGACGTCCAGTGCAGGGGATCCACTGGACGGAGGGACGTGTGGATACAGGAGCGCAGCGGGGAGCTTGGGGATGGCGGAGGTTGTGGGGGAGCTGCGGCCCCTGGGGAGGGAGTGGGGTGCAGCAGCACAGGGGTGTCAGGGAAGGCTTGCAGGGGCAGAATAGGTGGGTGATGCTCAGGAGACAGAGCCTATTCCTATGGGCTGAGCGAATTTGAGACACCTGAGAGTTGTCATGGCGAGAAGAGGGGAGGCCAGCTGGGGAGGGCGCTGCCTCCAGAGTCACCGAGTGTGGATGGGGGCTGAAGCCCTGGATCACTGCTGTTGCCTACAACAAAGCCAGAGACATGGGTGGGGCAGGGGGGAGTCTCGGCTCAGGGGGGAAGGAGCCTGGCTTCCAGGGGCGCGAGGGGCCTGGCTAGTCGGGAGGGCCCCCTGGAATCAGAGCGTGGCGTGTATTATGCCAAGACACCAGGTGCCAGAGCCTGTTCTGGCTACACTTTTATGCGTGTCCAAAGCATTTCATTAATAACATTGTGCCGGACCTTTGACGCATATTTACTGAGTTCTCTGAGCAAAGGAGGGAGATGTGAACCTGCTAAGAGCTATTGATCTGGGAAGATGAGCGGATGGGACCAGGATCCAGAGCCCCATGGGCCGGCTGTGGTCAGGGAGGGAGAGGCGTGTGTACGGGCAGGAAGTTCGTCTCCTCTGCCACGTGCCCTGCTTGTCGGTGACCGAACGGCCCTGCCCCTGGTCTGAGCAGCTGCCCTAACACCCGCCCTCACGACGTCGGGCTCCCTCTGGCCCACAGGTGAAGCTCCGAGGCAGGTCTCCTGGTGCGAGGCTGAAGCCACCATCACCTGGCTGGTCTGGCCCTGCAGCCCACTCTCGCCCACCGACCTATGCTGTGGGACCACAGCCCTGACCCCTGTGGTCAAGCGGCTGCCTGGCATAGACCACACTATAATAAGTAAATTCCAAGTTGCAAAATCTCCAAGAGTCAAAACGTCTCCTCTTTCTGCAGGGTCCAGTGAGGTGAGTGGCAACTGGGGTCTCCTGGACCAAGTGGCGGCTCTGACCTGGGTGCAGACCCACATCGGAGTCCTCGGTGGGGACCCTCGGCGTGTGACCCTGGCAGCAGACCGCAGCGGTGCCGACGTGGCCAGCATGCACCTGCTCAGCACCCGGGCCGCCAGCCCCAGACTCTTCCGGAGAGCCGTGCTGATGGTGAGCCAGCCCCGCCCGCCTGCGTCTCGCTGCCCGCCCGCGCGAGGTGGCCCTCCCTGGCCCTCCCTGGCCCTCCCTGGCCTCTCGAGACCAGCAGGCCTGATTGTTCAGTTGTTTCTTGTCCTTTGTTGTGACCTGGTATCCCACACGTGACGGTCCAGGATGCTGCCCCCGGCTGGGCAGTGCTGTGGGCTCCAGGGGGTTACAAAGTGGTTCTGTTTCCCCGGAGTGCTTCCTCGGCAGCTCGTGGTCTGAGGCCTCTGGTTGACGGACAGACCCAAGGGGTGTGGGTGTAGGCTGAAAAGCTTCCCGGTGGGGGCAACTTAGCAATGGCAAGTTGCTCTGGTCTTGTCCGCCTTTGAGTCACCATCTCCCCTTACGCCGTCTGGTTTCGTCAATAGCCCATGTTCTCGCTGCCCTGAGAGTCAGTTCTGCTGACATTTTACTCAGAACAATACCGGTTGGTACATTCCTCTCACCCGCCCACCTCCTCCTGCTTGAGCTCTGAGGAGGGCCAGGAGCATGAGAGCTTGCGAGGAGTGGCCAGCAGCTGGGCCAGTAGTGGCACTGGTGATGATGAGGGTGCTGGTGACGGTCATGGTGCTGGTGATGCTGCTGCTGGTATAATGATGTTCATCGTGACAATAATTATGATGGAAGAAATAACCTGGTTGACCCCAGCGTAAATCCGGAAGGCCAGCTGGTGCGCCATTGATGAATTTCTAATTTTGTTGAGCATCCAGTTTGTGCCAGAGGCTGTATGAGATGCTGGCTGGGCCTTGCTGAGTAATACATGCCCTAGTTCTCAAGAAGCTTGTAATTTACCGGGGAGCAGGAGACAAACACTTATGGCAGATATTTAACAGGGTGTAGGGTGGCTGAGAGGCCCCAAGCAAGTGCTGGGGACGGAGGGCATGTGGGTGAATACTCTCAGGAGAGGCAGTGTCTGGCTAATGCACAAACATCTGTAGGCGGAGGCCTGGGCACCCAGGGAAACCGGGGCTCTCACCGAGGCCTGCTCGTCATGTGACGTGGCTGAGGACAGGGTTTTCATGGCTGTGGAGGCCGGGAGGCAGAGGGGAGCCAGGATATACTGAACTGGGGTTTAGCCTTTGTGCTTGGGAGCCGTGCAAGAGTTTTATGTATTTGTTTGGTAGCTTGGTTTGGTTTACCATTTTGACCATTTTGAAGTATATCTCAGTGGCATTAAGTCCATTCAGTGTTGTCAACCATCACGACTAATCATTTCCAGAATTTCTTCATTACCCCAGACTTCATTACTTCATTACCCCAGAAACTCTGCACTTAGCAAATAATAACTCCCATTTCCTCTTTCCCAGCCCCTGGTAGACTCTGTTCTACTTTCTGTGTCTATGAATTTATATATTCTAGGTCCCTCGTATCGGTGAAATCCTACAAGATTTGTGTGACTTATTTCACTTAGCATAATGTATGAAAAGTTTGTTCAGTTCTAGCAAATATCTGAATTTCATTTTTTTTAAGGCTAATATTCCATTGTATGAATTTCCACCTTTTGTTTACCTGTTCACCTGTGGAGGATGCTTGGGTTGTTTCCATCTTTAGCTAGTGTGGCACATGCTTCTGGGCGCGTGGTTGCGCCATCGAGGGTTTTCAGGATGCTGGCAGACTGTCTTAGAACTACTCTTTAGGAAGACTTTGGTTAGAGCTGGGGACAGGATGAATTTAAAAGGGGCACCCTGGAGGCAGAGAGAATATTGTGGGAAGAGGGTGAACCTCTGAGACCCACACGGAGGACCTGCTGGCAGCTACAAGGTCGTGTAATCACAGCCCAGTTTTGTCCAGTCTTCCTGGGATCCAAGCCCTTGATACAAAGAGGAGTGTCAGAGTTTGCACCTAGCTGTGCGAGGCCAGCCTGGCCCCCACCCCGTCAGGAAGCAGAGCCACCTGCCCCCCGACCTCTCCACTTTAGTTAGGAACCTTGTAACATCGACGGGCCCATGCTCAGTTCCTCAGGCAGTTTCTGCTGCGCGGGCCCTTTCTCCCGCCTTCCTCTGCCTGCCTTCCTCATCCCTCAGGAAGCTCTTCCAGGCTGCACCACAGCACCAGGCACTCTTGGCATGGCTTGTACTTCTCTGCACTGCACCATCATGCTTCCCCCCAGTAAATATCGGTCCCCATCTCCAAGGCAGCTGTCACAGACTGGAAACTCTGGATCGGGGAGGAACGGTCAGCCTTGCTCTCTGTGGGGCCCCAGTACCCAGCCCGTCCGTCTTCCAGTGGGTGCTCCCAGAGAGTGTCTGGGTGGTGGGTGAGCAGGAGACAGGAAGGGTTCTGGGGCCCACAAACTAGCCCACTGTCCCCCCTGCCTTTGTCTCTCATCCTTTGATTTGGATTTTCTGTAATCTGCCGCTCAGTGGGTCTGAATACACAGATCTTTCCATTCCTGGCCTAATAAAGAGCTTCCTGAGGGGCTTTCCAGGGCCACTTAGAAAGCAGACATGCCTGCGGCCCAGGGACACCAACAAGATGCTCCAGGAGGCCCAGAAGGCAGTTTTCTTTTTGAAAAATCTGCAAAGTTTAGGTGTTTTGGGGCATTTCAAAAATGAATCTGCTTTAACAAATGGTAACGTGCATAAAAATAACCCTCCGTCTGCTTCAGTCACTGAGGAGCAGCTTTACAACTGCTCCTAGCGGTCCTTGGGTTGCCTGTGAAATTATTTGTAATCGAGAGAACCAAAAGACTTCAACACATCAGCAGATCTCAAACGTGTTCTTTACTAACAGATGTTTGGGGGAAGAATGTGAGCTGGTGATATATTCTTAGACAAAATCTTAAGTCTTTTTGCAAATCTTGGGACCAGAACGATTGAAATTTCAGGCGACGCAGACTCTTGTCATAATTAATAGCTTGTGTGTATTTGTTTAGCATGTTTGCAGTCTAAGCATTTCCAGATATTAGCTCGCAGGTCCCTCCACACTGATTGGCGTGGGGGGTTTTATTCTCAGTGTAGAGATAAGGAAGCAAAGGCTCAGAGAGGTGTAGTGACCCGCAAAAGGACACAGAGCAAAGGGGCTGCATATGGGCTACAACCTAAAGCAAATCCTGTTTTCCTACTCTGAGCTGCAGCAAAGAACTTGAGATTTTATTTTTCTAGCCTACCTTACTGCACTTCTGCTATGGCTGGGCACGTGCATGGGCACATGGGTTTACCTCCTAGTACTTCCTAGTGCTTAGTGTTTCCCAACATTTAGCACTCCCCAATACTTAGTACTTCCCAATGCTCAGTACTTCCCATAACTTAGTACTTCGATGCCTAGTACTTACCAATGCTTCATAATTCCCCAAACTTCATGCTTTGCAATGCTTATTAGTACTCTCCAAGGCATAGTACTCCGTGATGTATTAAGCACAGCACTGGTGCAGAGAGGCCCTAGGGCGACACTGAGTCCAATCAAACTCATGGGAGTTGATGATGGTTTGGGCCCACAGCCAGTTTCTCCTCGTCCTGCACATGTATCATAGTGTACACCCTCTCCTCTGCCTGCCTCTTTGTCAAAATCCACCTGGCTCTCCCTAGGCTTCAATGCGTCTGTAAGTATTTGATGATAACTTGTGATTTTTAAAAATAATTTCTGATGTCATTTCATGGAATTTTTTAATTTATTTCAGCAAAGTGTCTGTGTTTTTATGACGTTAAGTTTTACCGCCATGAATCAGGGTAACGCCATACCCATGGACATGGTATTTTTGTCTCCGTTAGGTCTTTTACAATTTTGAACTTTCCACAGTTTTGTTGAATTGTGAGGTGGGGACCACGCTGGGCAGACTCTGCTGCTTTGTGCCTGTTGCCTTGTTCTCCACTGTTCTCAGCTGGCCCACGCTGGCACAGGGGAAGAGTTGGCCCAGCATTGGCTGAGTGTTCTTAACACTTTAATGATTTGTTGCTTCCGTTGGGTTTTCTATGAAGTCATTTCATTGTCTGCAAGTAATGACAGGCTTATTTCTGTACCTATTAGAGCAAAATGCTCAGCTGCTCTACCAGAGACCCACCACCGAAGTGGCGTCGCTAATCAGGTCTTTTTGTCTTCGTGTTTCCCGAGGTGAGAAGTCCAGTTCCATGATCTCAGGGGCTGGGTTGGCCAGACAGCAGGGAGGGGCCAGAAAGGGGAGGGGCAGCGCATTTGATTTGCTTTGCTCCATTTTTGCTGGGATCGTGCCTGTGTATGCTTCTATCCATTATATTAATCTCGTTATTTAACCAAGGTTTTGCTTTTTCAATCTTCTCTGTGCCAGAATTTAAACACCCTGTCTCACTGGGGTCTGCCCTTCTCATTTCGTTTTCTCCTTGTTTCCAAGAAAACTAATGTTTGTTTCACTTCTGGAGGTAAAAGTCAGCCTCATTACTTCTCATTCTTTGTTTTCTGATCATTATATTTCAAACAATAGATTCCCCTTTAGCTATCGTCTCAGTTACGTCACAAACATTTGCGACATAGCAACGTGTCATTTAAAAAGTGTTTTTATTATTTCCTTTGCTCAAGAATTTTTTTTTAATTTTAGATATATAGAATATTTCCCCATCTTTTGCAAGTTGATTTCCAGTTCTATTGCATTATAATCCTAGAGCATGCATTGGAAAATGCTGACTCAATGGATGTAGTAGGATTTCCTCTGTGACCTAATGGATTCTCCATTTGCTGGCAGAAAAGTTGTATAGTGTTGTCAAAGTCTTCTCCCTGTCTACTTATCAATTTACTTACCTTGGTTTCATCTATCAGTGACTAAGTTATGTATTAAAATCTCCAAATAAAATGAGTAATTTATCCATCTGTCTCTCTAGAAATTGCTTAACAAACCTTGGCACTGTATGGTTAGATTAATATAAGTTCAATCATGACATCTTTTTAATATAGCATTCCTTTTGTAACATCTCTTTTTGCCCTGAAGTTATTTATTTTCACCTTAAATTCCATTTTGACTCAAAAGTCAACCATTGTCCAGGAAAAAATTTCACTCTTTTATTTTCAAATTCTGCATGCTTTTGTTGTAAGTATCTGCCAAGTAGACAATACAATGGGGGGGGTGTGGGGATTTTAAAAATTCATTCTCTGTACAACAGCCAGTGTGGTCTTTAAAACACAGAATGGGGCACTATCTCTCCTCTGCTTAGAACCTTCCCATTTCTGGGAAGAGACCCCAAGCTCCTTCTCCTGCCAGGCGGGTCCCTGCAGGACTTGCCTCCCACAGCCTCTCACTCCCGGCCTCCCCGGTCTTCCTGAGATCCTTCGGCCTGCAGCTTTGTGCCTGCTGTCCTTGCTGCCTCCAGAGTCCTTCCTAGATCTTCCCATGACTGTTTGCTGCTCTCTTTTGGGCGTCAGCTCAAAACCCTCCGCTGGGAGGTCTCTGGAGCATCTGACTAAACACTCCCGCGGCCTTCACCCTCCCACCCAGCAGTGCCAGCCATTTCCTGCTCTGATTCACTGTTGCAGAAGGCCTCTTGTTCGTTTGTGATCGGCTCTGTGATCGAGGACCTCACCGGTTCTCACTGGTACATCCCCAGGCCCAGAGCAGAGTCTGGTGCTTATCGGCATCCCTAAAAGAAGTCCCTGGGGAATGAAGAGCCCAGGTACGACAAGCAATCGGCAAAAGCGCGTAGGTGAGACAGAACGCTGTCCTCACAATCGCTAAGAAGTCCTTTCCTCCCTGACCTCTCCATGTCCACCTCTAAGTTAAACATGACACCCTCAAAAGTCATAAAATCTGGTTGTCTTCAGACTGAAGCTCATGGCAAAGCTGAGCTGCTCACCAGGTGCTTCTTCCTTGCTCCCCTGTCCTGGCAGTGGCAAGTTTCAAACCGACAGAAGTTTCTGAATGAACCATGTACCCCTCACCCAGACAGCTCTCTCCACGTATTAAGAGTTAAATATTTATTAGGCTTATTTCAATCAGGAATAAATACATGATTTAGTAAAGTGTAATGCTTCCCACTTAGAAATCCCCCCCGAGTGCTCCCCAGATGTTCAGATCACATTTGTCACAACAGAACACGCTTTGTGAGATGCGGCACTGGCATCCGTGATGCGAGGTGGCCCTGCCTGCTGGGGAATCATGGTCCCGGTGTTACATGCATTCCTCCTATGTTGGCTGGTTCGTCTGAGGTCGTGCAGGAAACCACACAAGCCTTCCTGTATAAACACTCTGGACTCCATGGCGCAGCGGTCACGGACATGCGTGTCCACACTCCACTGGCTCGCTGAGCTCAGGTCTGTGGAATGTGTGTGGTTACCAGGGAGACCTTGTGATGGGGCAGCTGGAGACACGTCTCGACCTCTGCCCCGAGCAGTCAAGGTTGTCAAGGCCTCACCCCTACCAGGAGCAGGAGGGGCCTGGCATAAATCCCTCTCCTCTAGCTCTGGTTTCTGCTTCTCTTTCATCTCTTAACATTATGTAAGACAGAATGAAGCTACTCTGACTTCCCTGGAGCTCCGCGTTTTTGTTCATGTGGACACCAGGCTCTCCTTAGAATAAAATACTGGATGAATTCATTCTTTCCAACTTATCCATTTCCTTTTTTTGAGAAATTCAACCCCTGTTCTCCTCAGTCCAGTCATGCTGTCCAATCTCCGAGGGTCCCTGAAACATGAGCTTGTGGTGCCTCTTGCCTGACTCCATCCCCACCCCGAATCATGAGCTGGCTATTCCTTTTATACCCCATTTTCACAGCTTTTCTCCCTGTCTCCATGGCTGGGGACTTAATGCAGCACCTCTTCTTCGGGCAATCCTGAAGGAATCATTGATGCTTCAATATAGCAGGGGTCTCTGTACCCCATAGAGGGGCTTTCTGTGCTGCAGAGCTGTGGCTGGGGCATCGTAAGAGCTGGGCTGCTCCAGGTCCACCCCTGCTTCCCCACCAGCAGCCCCCCTTTCTCCTGACACATTGCCCTCTGCAGAAGGAGGGAGCCTGTTGAACCTGCACGTGTGGATGACGCAGGAGCCGGCCTCGGTGTCTCCTGGTGCAGGGCTGCTGAGCAGGGTTAACTTTAGTGTCACCGAGTTCTATGAGAGGGAGGAGCCCAGACCGAGGTCTTCTTGCCCGCTGGTTTCCCGAGTTCACTGTGGACACCAGTCTGCAAAGCCAGACCCACTGCCAGGCCACAGCTTTTAACTCAGGCTGGTTTCACTCAGCAGTTCTTTCTGGTGACCTCAGACATGGCCCTCTGGGTGGCCTCGTGAATATTCCTGGTGTATTTCTCGTGTGTCCATGTCTCTCCCACAAACGTGTGGCTCTGAAACTCTGCCCAGTCCCAGCAGGAGCCGACATCTTGAGACGCCCCAACCCCGCTCACACACCAGGGAGGGGCTCCCTTTGCAGAGATGTGGCTAGAGAAGATTTGAGTTCAAGTCTCCATGTGGCCTCTCTGGGCTTCTGGAAGACAGATGCGAGGTCCCCCAGGGCCAGGGAACCCCGGCTCCGCAAGACCCTGGGCGTCTTCTGGCCTCTGTTTTGCTTGGGCGTGCGCCCTGGCGTCTGCGCTCAGCTAGTCCTCAAAGTAAGGCGGGGAGGAGAAGAAGGCGCTCTTCCTCTTGCTGCCGCTGTATATCAGGGACACTCTGTTCTTCTTTCGATCGAAGGAGCTGCCGTCTTCGCTGGTGAGGGACAGGTAGGAGGCAATGCTTTCCCGAAGGCCGTAGCTGATTACAGAATCATCCATACCCAGGGGGTTGTCTGCCCCTTCAGGATCAGCATCTTCCTGGAGTCTTCACGGGCAAAGCAGGGGCAAGGATGGGGAAGGAGGAACAGAGTGGGACAGAGGACAAGAGAATGAAAAAAGGAAGAAGAAAAAAAATGAGACTGGTTAGTATTTCTCTAGGTTAGTGCTTCATTCTGCTGCTTACATGTGTGGCTGTGTGATCTCGGAGAAATCACTTGACCTCTCTGAACAACTACTCCCTTGGCTGGCTAAATCTTCCAACTATAGATTGAATATTTCTCCAGGATATTTAAAAGAAAGAACCATTTATCTCCCAGGCAGTTCTGATAACTGATTTTCTTTGAATTAGTCAATGGGAAGACATCTGGATGGGTGTGTTTAATTAATAAGATAATCTATCTACCTCAGACTGTAGGTATCTCTCAGCATATGACAGCTGATAATCAAATAAACAAAGCAGATGACAGGAAAAGTTTTTTTCCTTAAAAAAACTGAAGGCCTCTTAGGATTATGTAGGTTTTAAACTTTCTGAGTGAGTTTAAAATATATTACATTAGAGGAAGATGTGTCCCTCAAATCTGTATAGTTTTGTAAATTAATGGCAAATTAACAACGTAAAAAATGTTAAATTTATTGCAAGATTTATTTGTGTGTGTGCTACACAAATAAATCTAGGATCCTTCCAGTTAGAAAGAGCAAGGTGGCATCTCTCAGCTAGGAAATCTATCTCTAACGCCAAATGGGGGCTCAATAATAAGTGCTTGCAGAACTGGGGGACCAAGGGCCTTGGTGGGGGTGGCCAGGCATGTGCCACCTGCCAGGTGAGGTCTGAGGCTGGGTCTGCCTCCCAGGGAGGAGGGGACTCGGCTGGCCTGCATCTGCTAGGGGGACCTGTGCCAGGGTCTCAGCAAGAATGGCTGGGCTGGCAACTGGCCAAGTGGCCACGTCACACGCCCCTGATTTGGGGCCTAAATGTTCATGGGTGTGCACACGCGCATGCGCATGCGCACGTGCACACACACACACACACACACACACACACACACACCTGGACACTCTCTTCCAGTCGAAGGTCTTCTGGCGCATGGTGACGGGTGAGTCGGGGACTCTCGCTGCTGGGTTTGTTGTGCTCTGGGTGAGGCAGGGCGTGGTCAGCACACAGCAGAGGCCATCAGCCACCTCTGAGGATGGAAGCAGACAAGGGCTCAGTGACTCCTGGTGCACAGCCAGGTGTGGGCAGGGCATGAGACCCTCAGGGAATGCAGCTTCCCAGTTGTTCCCAGGCCGAGGGCTGCCCCAGTTGTTTCAGGAATGTTTGTGGACCCTGGATCCTCACACCCTCAGCTGGCCACAGGTAGAGGACAGGGCTCAGGATCCAGGATTGGCCACACTGAGCATGAAGCTCAGCTCCACCCCTGATGGTGAATCACCTTGATCTTCCCTGTGCCTCAGTTTCCTCAAATGCAAAATGAGAGGAATAAACTAATAGTGAAAGCAGTGGGCAGAGGCCCTCACCGCACTGGCGCTGATAGCCATCCTCGAAAAGGCATTTCAGTCCTCATTTTACAGATGCAGAAACTGAGGCTTCAAGATGGGCAGTGATTTGCCCCAGACACCAGGCAGTGCACGGAACGGGAGAACCAGACTGTTCAGACCTCTTAGAGCGTGATGTCTCCTACTCTGTGCCTTTAGGAAGCAGGCGGCGGGAGGTGGAAACAACCACATTATCTCCACTTTGAGGTCCCCTGGGGGCACAGGAAGCATTTCAGAGGTTCAGGTTCATTCCAGTTATTCACAGAGGTGACCTGCCCCAGTCCGGACTGACCCTGTGCGACACCCTGGGTATTCTCAGCCCAGAAGCCTCATGGACCCCCCGGTCAGAAAGTCTTTGCTGGGAAGCCATCCTGTTCGTGTGCGATGTTGTCTATGCAAAACTTCTGGTCTCTGCACCTCTCAGATGGTTGTTATTAAAAGCCAAATACCACAAACAACCTTTACTCGTAATCAGTAAAAGTTGACTGTTTCCAGGACTCCCTTCCTCTTTCATTTTAGCTGAGATGCTCGTTTTTTGTGTGTCATGGAAGTAATCTCTCTGATCAGGCTGTGACGGGCATGTTCTGTAACCATCCTGTCCAGTCATCAGGACATGGCCTTCAGGGGGCCTGTCCTCCCCTGCCTGCTGGGAATGGGCAGCCAAGATCCGGCCCAGTCAGGGGCGCCCACCCACAGAGCCTGGATCCGAGCTCAGGCCTGTGTCTCCCAAATGGCCATTCCTCCCTCAGCACCTGTGCCAGGTGTGAGGACCCAGCCCTGCGGATGCCTCCTTCTCCTTGAAATGCCCTTCAAGACCCCTTAAGGAACACTAGAAAAGGTAGTGGGGGTGTGAAGTCAGACATCCTGAACCCCAAGGAGGAAGAGGCTAACTTAGGATAAGCAACGTCCCCCTCCTGGCCCAGTAGAGTGTGGGAGGCAGTGAGGAGCGTGGCTGATGCACCATGTGAGTCACTGATGTCATTCACACCACGCCCTGTGGGAACATTACACAGAGGAGGAGGCACAGGCACGTGAACCACCAACCCAAGATTGCCCAGAAAATCTGGCATATGAACACAGGTTCCAGAACCATCTTTGAGAGATTTAGCCACCTTTTTACTATTTAACCCTATTTCATAGGTAGAATACCAACTTCTGCCCTGACATCCAGGCCTCTCACACCCTGACTCAAATTTCCTCTCCTGGCTCCACCCCTTATACCATCACAGCCACCCAAGCCCTGCTCTGCACCGCCATCCTGCAGGATGCTCCAGGGCCCAGGAAGGACATAGAAATGAGGGAAAGTCAACCCCTGGTCATTAAAAGTTTGTTGGGAAAGACTAGCACATGTTAGGTCTCAGGCACACGCCCAGAGCTCCAGAAGAGAAACGCCTGGCAGGTCTGGGGGCAGAGAAAACAGGCGATGAATGCAACCTCCTGGACTTCATCTGGGTGGCTTCCTGGTGGGCTTGAAGGCTGAGGACTTTGACACAAGGAGACGTGAAAATGAGTGACATTTCTGAACAAAGCCCAGAGGCCTTCTCAGAGGAAGTGTTTGTGGCTAGGAGTGCGGGGTGTATCCAGGTGGGCTCTCACCATTTACAGGTTAGGGGGTGAGGTTGTGCTGTGCTGTACCTGCTCAGCAGCGTTTACAGCAGCCTGGCAGGCTGTATGATAAAGTCAGATTAAGGAGACAGGACGGTGGGGAGTCCAGGCCCCCAGGCACTGCCTCAGGGGTTCCCGGGAGGGGTCCAGTGGGGTGCTGCTTACCTGAATAGTGATTGACCAGGTCCTCCAGGCACTGGAAGGTGAGCCTCGGGGAGATGTAGTACCAGTTGTTGGGCAAGCGGTAGATGCGGTAGTGCTTCACCTGCCGGTGTCTCACCGACAGCGAGTAAAAGCCTGCAGGAGGTGAGGGTCAGTCAGCGACACCCCACGTGTCCCCACCGAGGACACGTGGCCAAGGAGCCCACCTCCATGGAGCGGGTGGGTGCCCCAGCCTTGGGATACAGAGACATGGGGGTGTGCACTGGTGTTCTCCTGGCAGCCCCAGCACCCCCCGGCTGGGACACAGCTCGCGCTTTAGACACCTGGGAGGGTGTTTCTTTGCAGCCGGTTGCCACGACCACATCACTGCACTGGCTGGTTGGCCTTTGCTTGGTGGGGCTGCCATTCGGGTGATTGCACGTCCTTGTGTGGGTCCTTGAACCCAGTGGTCAGAGTTGAATTGTGCCCCTTTGGGCCAGGGTCTCGGTCCTCCCAAAGCCTCCCCACCCACCACAGTGGGCCACCCCGCCCATTGGGAGGGTCTAACTGCCTGCTGATGGCACCCCTCTGATTTGTGCTTGGTTCCTAGAGCTTTGGGGAGAGTAGAGCTAGGGTAGTTTCCAAGCACCAATAGCCACAGCTCTGTTCGGTCTCAGCAAGGCCCCTGGGGACGAGGCCCCTGAATATTTTATAGACGGAGAGTGAGGCTCAGAGCCCCTGAGTCATATGACCAGAGGCACCCAGCTTGGAAATGGCAAATCTGGGGTGTGACTTGTCCTGAGAAGCCTCTAGGGTGTTCTGATGGGCGTCCCTGGGTGTGCCCCAGGCCCTCGTCCTGAGTCACCCTAACTTGTGTCTTCCGGTAATGTCAGCAGGACTGGAAATACGGTGAGCGGGTCAAGGGTAGCAGGTGGAAAAATATCAGAACTTTGCATACCCAAGGGAGCCCGCCACCCAACCCTTGCGGGCCACACAGCTGCCTGACGACATCGGTAATTACAGAGGAACTATGGCCCCGCAGACTGGGTTTGTCCCACCCCTGGGCCTCGCCAGCTTGGAGGCTCTTCTGTGTCTGGGTCCCCTGCTTTGGGGGTCCCCAGGGCAAGCGTAGCAAGTTTTGTTTCCGCTTTGGCCTCGCTCTCCCTCCACACATTCAGCTTTTTGAGAGGAAGTGATTCCTGGATTTCTTGATCCCTTACACAGGGCGCAGACTTCCCCTAAGTGGCTGGTGCTCATCTGGGGTGCAGGGGTCCTGCCCCAGGTGGCCTGGCGCTTAATAGGCACACAGGAAACGCTCTCAGGGTCTAAACTTCCTCTTCTTTGAGAGCAAGTGTACAGCTCGGAGCTCGAAGACACCTTCTGTCTTAAAAGCCTGGGAAAGCCTGGTGCTGAGTGTCTGTTCTTATGAGTTAAAATCCTCACTGCACCCAGGCCTGGCGCTGATCATATTGTTAATCCCAAGTTCTGGAAAATGTGTATGGGGAGGGAGAGGGAAGGATTTGCGTGATGTGGCCACAGGGAACATGAGCCCTTGACAGTCAGCTGGGGGCACAGCCCTGGGCCCGGCCCTGGCAGGGAAAGCTGGGTCCTGGGTGCTCACCCTTCTTCGTCTCGCTCTCCCTGATCATGAAGGAGCCCATCTTGGTGTCTGGCAGCTGCAGCAGCTCCTCCGCCTTGTCTCTGCCCAGCCCTTCGAACAGCCAGCTAGGGAGGAAGAGGGAGGTAGCCATGAGCACCCAGAGCCAGCCCTGCCCCAAAACAGTCAGGAATGAAGGTGGAGGTCCAGTGGTAGAAGTGTTTGGGACTTAAAAGGGGAGGTGCAGCAATTGATCATTCACTCATTCATTCATTCTCTCATCTGCTTTCTGCGTACCTAGCACCTGCTAGGGACTGCTCTGGATATCGAGGCCGTAGAGATACATAAGACACCCTTCCTGTCTTCCTGTCCCATATTTCAAGTACCAGCTAGGATGAGCCCCTTCTGATTTTCATAATGAGGGACGCATTCTAAAGCGTGAGGAGGTCCCTGCTGGGCGGTTTGTTGGGTCTGTTTCCCTTACACACTAAGGGCCTGGCCTCCCCTCACCAGCTTCAGGGCAGGGCCTGTGTCTGTCTCTTTGGCTTTGCGTTTGTCTTTATCCTGATAACGGAGCTTGGTGTAGATTTGTAAATGAATGAATGAGTGGCTCCAAGAAAGAAAGACAAATGAGGGTGCATAATTTCACCCACTTGGCGAACCCCGCTTTGCGTGGGGTTGTATTTCCTTCTTGTCTCCTTTGCAACCTGTGTTCACCACAGAGCGTTCTGCAGCGACATGTGGTTTGTGCTTTTTTTCACTTATTGGTAAAAAGAAAAAAAAGCAGATGTGATGTGGCATGAAATAGTGGAGAACCCGTCCATGGAACGGACCAGTCCTTGGGGAGCTGCAGTTTCTGGATGCCTTTTGGAAGGCAGCTCCGCCCACAAAGAGCTTCTACGGGAAGCCCCATGCTCATTTTCCACAGTAGGTTCAGCCAGATCTCAGCATGAAAGGAAATGCTTGGCGGGCACTAGGCCACGTACTCAGAAGCAATTGCATTTGAATTTTCTATAGTCTCTGAATTTCAGTGACTGGGCCCTGGCCTTTCATCCCCAGGTCTGGATTCAGGTGTGCTGGGGTGAATAGGAACACTCCACTCTTTTGTGCCCTTTGAGAATTCACCACGGCACCCAAGTCCTCGAGTCAGCACCCTAAGACAGGTGGGGGGCATTACCTCTCTCCCCGACAAGGTGTTCACGCAGAGTGATTAAATAAGGTGTGCATGTCAGCCCTTATCAGCAAGTGATGGAGCTAGATCAGGGGACATATTGGGGGACACCCAATTCCATAGCCACTGGAGGTATTGCCTCTCTCCTGAGCGAAAGGGCCATATTGCATCTGGACATGGGCTGCTCCGTAGTCACCTGGGTGCCCACCACCCAGCTCCTGCCAGTTCATGCCTGTGCCACATCTCAGAGCCCTGGTGCTGGTGCAAGTTTCCTAGGATGAGTGGATCCAGGCCAGAGCTGACTTAGATACGTTTCGACACTCCCATCTCTTCCGAAGCATCACTCTCTGCTCACTGTCATCCTCCCAAGCACGAAATGGCCTTTGCTTTCATAATTGGCATGTGATACTGCCAGGAAAGGCACCAAGTTGCAGCCTCCCGAACAGGTAGGCCGTTCTCACTGCTGCCCAGGTGAGCATGTGGCAGCAAAGCCTCCTCCACTGTTCCACTGGCCTCTTGCTAGCAAGCTTACAAGTCAATAGCACAGATGCCATATTTTATTGCTGCTACTTGAGGAATGTACTCACCCGTGGTATACTCTGGCCACACACATTCCAGGAATATAACTCTCTCGACCAGTGCTAAGAGAAATGGCTCTCCACCAGCCCCCTTCACTGGAAGAGAAGAACAGAGAGGAGGGGGCGGGTATGGGTGAGTGGCAGAGTGAATGAAGGAATGAATGAAGTGCAGATTTAACCCAGAGTATGTCAGGACACTCCTTTGTTAAGGCCTATCTTTGACTGTGGTGATCCAGATTTCTCCATGTGAAAATGTAGTTTTTAAGTAGATCCCCCTGTTCCAAGCCAACTGGGAGCTCTTCATGCACTGGCAATAGCCAACTTTGAGAGATCAGCAGCTGATCTTTATAGTGGGTATTCCACAATCGGAGGATTATTTAAAATAAATGTTTACATTACTGATGTACACCCTGCAGGAAGCCAAGATGGGTCTGTATCAGTGAGGATCTAGACAAAAGGGCAAAGGCCCCTGTCTGCTCTGTAGTCTGTGCTGGGTCGTGGCAATATCAGGGTGGAGGGCACGCCTATTACTCATCATCAGAAGTGTTTGCTGGTCCCTGGTCCTCCTTCCCAAGCCGGTGCTGAGTGATGATAGCAGCACTGCATGTGTGGTAGGAGTGAGGCAATGTGGGAAGCAGAAGTTAGGACAGAAAAGGTCTCAGAGCCAAGTTAAGAAATTTAAATCGTATCCAGCAGGCAATGGGAGCCACTGAAAGTTTTAGAGCTCTGGCAGCATTATGGAGGATTAAGCATTCAGGCCTAATGTGTGGACCAAATTTCTCACCTCAGAGAGCCAGGACCCAGTGGGAATTGGACAGATACAGCTAAAATCTAACAATTGCCACCCAAATCAAGTTCATCATGGGCGGGGGGAGGGGAGGTTATAAAATTTTGTAACTCACTCAGAAATCACACGCAGTTTCTCCCCTCGACGGAATATTGGGGGGCTGATGTCAGGAGATGGGTAGTCACTCAGCACGGCGAGGAAGTCGCTGTCCAGTCCTGGGAAAGCAGAGGCAAAGGGGGTTCTTAGTCACAAGGAGCCGGAAAGGGAGGCCTCAAGGATGGGCCTCCCCTGGGGACTTCTCAGATGCACACCCCTAATTTGAGAAACCACTACAGCAGCCGCTCCCTTGTCAGGACTTTTAAAGGGGCCTGGAGGAGCCAGGGGTTGCTGACCCACTCTAGTCTCAAGCTTGCTTTGGTCTGATGTTCCCCTGAGAACTGGGGCTCCAGAGGCCCTGGAGCTAACATCACCAGCTCTGACTTCAAGGTATAACCCCTGGCTGTGGAGTCATGTCCTCTGGGGCAAGTTCCAGAACACCCATGAGAACAGCACCCCCCTTTTTAAGATGGGGATGACGAGATCCTGTTCCAGGGCCCACATGAGATGAGATGAAAGCAGGTGGCACCCCCTGGTGAATGAGTAGCGGCTAATGACACCTCTTCTCACTTCTGCTGTCGCCAGTGCCCGCTCTGGCCCCGGGCACCCACCCATAGTGTGTGTGTGGTGGGGTGTCAGGAGAGTTAGGCTACCTGACTTCTGAGGACCCACCGGGAGCCAAAAGACACCAACTCTGAGGCTCCACAAAGCGCTTATTCCTTATAGAGCAGGAGGCTCCATCCCATTACCAAGATTTCGGGGAGGGGAGAAGGAAAATCAAGCACTTGTCACTTTTGTGCCCTGGAAATAAGGCTCATGAGGTTTTGCAAAGGAGCCCCTCTGTCTGCTTGGTGTGCGTGTGGCTCACTGTAGAGACGCAGTGATACATGTTTATTTGCTTTTTGTCACTAAGCAAAATCCTGTGTCACAGCCTCAGTGATTTCCTAGAGTTTGGGTACATTGGATGTGAGGTAATATTGGGGTACATATGGTGGGAAATAATACGCCTTATTCATCTGCAAAGACAGTCATTGTTTGTGATGACATTTTTCACTCCATCTGCTGGTTGGGCATCTGAACTCAAAATTCTGGGTAACACATCATTGAGTGATTCATTCCATAATTATTTATTAAACACCCAGCATGGGCCAAGCATGGGGAAAAGCAGGTCAGGATTTCCTGCTCTGAGAATGCAAATATTCTAGAGAACGCACACATCATCCTGGGGGGTGAAGGGCATTTTCCCCCTTCACCCCAGGAGAACCTAGAGAGAGCCTAGCACTGCAGACTTGGTGACCCTCACCCCCGTACAGGCGCCTCTGGGCCCTGCCCCTTCCTGCTTGTACGTCCTGCCGTCCCCAACTCACTAGTCCCTGCTCTAAGAAGTCGAGTAGAAGGAGAGCGTAAGTACTAGAACAAGAGGAAAAATGAGTGGGGGGTTTGGCAAAAGGTTTGGTTTCTAATTGACAAAGGAACCGGCTGTCGCCATGGAACAGGGCATGCAAATGTCTTGCTTGCTGTGGGAACTGAGTCACAGACCATAAGATGGAAAAGCCGGGCCCCTGGGCGCGGGACAGAAACCAAGTGATTCTCTGTGGTCTGGGGTCAGGGCGAGGGGTGAGGGGTAGAGCTGGCTCTGCAAGAACTGGCTGGGGAGACCCCGATCTGCCCCTGCCCTGAGCCTGGGGGGACACCACCCTGCTCACATTCTGCTGAATGAGAAAAGGGGTTCGTGCCTAGTGTCGCCCTGACCCCACCCCAATCATTAGAGGCAACACTTAAGAGTGTGCTGGACTTGAAGCCAGAAGCCCCAAGCTCTAATAAGGGATGGGCCCAGATTTCATGGGGCATGAATTTCATGCAAATGTGGAGGTCCTCTTGAAGATAAAGAACATGAAATGGCAAATACAAAATTGGGTGCCAGCCTGAGGGAGACGCTGTGCGCTGAGCGGGCCTGGCCCACAGGCTGTTTCGTTTTCCTGTAAATCAGCCCAGCTCCCAGGCTGCCTTTGCCACGCTGAGTGCAGGCGTGGCCCTTGCTGCCCTGGGCTGGGGTCGGTCTGGGAATCGGGAGCTGGAGAACCCTTTGTGATGTGCATCTGGACAAATGGCCCCAAATAAAAAGGGCCCATTTATTACCCGGCTGCGCGGTCTGGAGCGAGACAGCCTTTGTGTTTCCTTGATTTGCCAGATGCCCCAGCTCAGAGCCAGAGGACACGCTGCCCCCTGCCTGGAGGGCACCCGCCTGCCCTGCTCTCCGGCTCTCCCGCAGCCAGTCCAGGCCAGTGCGGAAACATCACTGAAAATACAGTGTTGGGTTTTGCTTAATGTAGTGGCCTTTTCGGGGTCCCATGCAAGGGATTCCAGGACCATCCCCCTCACCTTTATCACCAGAGTTAGAAAAACTGAAGGTGCTGAGTTGGGTTTGTTTTTCGGGTATGAGAGTTGGGGGACCTGCAGCCTTTTAGACAATCTACTTTAGGGTCCCACTCACGCTTCCCTGGGCCTTGGTCCTGACAGCGAAATAGACTCAGGGTAGGAAATTTACTTGCTCATAAATTTCAAAAATATTGTGTCCTTCTGGAGCCTCCCCCCTCTATGGAGAGCTGAGCTTTTGAATTAAACCAGATTAACAAGTGGCCTGAGGAGAGGCTTGCTCAGGAAGTCAGCGGGATTATTGGCAGCCTAAGATAAGGCAACAAATTAAGTGGAGAAGTTGGTGCTGGGCGTGAGAGAGAAATCCAGGGAGGATTGTTGGAAGAGAGAATGTGCTTTGGAATCGATCAGACTTGGCTTTAATTCCACCACCACGACGTAATAGTTTGTGATTTGGGGAGAGATTTAACTTATCGGAGCCACGTAAAAATGGGAAATCTTAGAATCCGCCCCATGTCCTGGCCCAGGACTCAGTGCAGCGGGTGTCTGGGCCTTTCTCACGAAGTAGCAGCTCATAAAGGGGTCGAGTGGGCTCTTGTCCATGATCCGAGGCTACTTTCAGCCCGGCACGTCCTACATTTTGAAAAGTCGCCGGGAGTAGAAATCTGAAAATATTCTTATCTTCCCAAGACAGACTCCTTTTGGTGAGAACAGAAGATGAAATTCAACAGGTCAAATATTTGCTGATAGCAGATGTGAGTCAGATTGAACCAACTCAAAAATGAGTCAGATTGAACAAAATGTACAAAAGTATCACACAGGAAGTGAGTCCAAAAAAGCACTAGGAGACCCAGGCTGAGCGCAGTAGCCACAGATATTACTTAGTCAAAAGGGCACCGGCTCCTCTCTGCATTGTTATTCCTTAGAGCACCTTTTTCGTGACTCTGAGCCCCAGGGCTCAGCCCCAGCAAAAGCAGCCACTCTCTGCTTTGCTTCCAAGGCTCTCTTCTGCCCTACAGATGGAACATTCTCTCTACAGGGTAGAGAAACCAATGCTGGGCGTTTTTGTAACTTGTCCAGAGCAGAACAAGAGCATTTCCAAGGTCAAGGTCACGCCTCTAAGCCAAATAGCTCTTCCTGGCTCTTCATCACCAGGCTCTCCCCAGCTGACTCTTGATCCCTCGCAGGTTGGGACGAAGCCTGATTCAGAGGAGGCTCTGTGTGTGCTTGGCAGGCGGGGCAAAGGCCGCGAGTCCATCTCTGGTGGTTGTTCCTCGGGGCTGTGCCCAAATCCAGGCCTTATTTTTAGACCCTTTTACAGGAAACACACACTCACACAAGGAACCCATCTGACGGGGCTGGGCAGGCTGCCCGCCCAGCTCTCGCGGTCACCACCGACCTCGGCTGCTGTGGGTACTGTCTTGTGGGCTGGTGGGTGAGATGCAGCGGCGCAGGAAGCTCTTTATTGAAAGCTTTGGTCTCTCCATCTGTTAGGTGGGGCAGGCTGGGGCTGCGTAGACCCCAGGATCTCAGATGGTGCGACGAGGTGAACTCAGGCGGGGACTCCCAGGTAGTGGGCCGCTGCCTGATTCCAAAGCCCTAACCTCTCGGCAGGACAGGCAGACGCTGCCCTTGACCGATTCCTCACAGCTGAGCACCATCTACTCTGCTGCTTCCACGTTCACTCACTTAGAAGAGCTTTACCGCCTTTCTGAGCAAAGTGAAACCGTGGGCTTGATCAACTAATAACTATATCTATAGACTTACAAAATTGTTTCATGTGGATTTTTATAATCTCCATCAAATGCACCATGATAGAAAAGTTGAGTGATCACGTTCCCTGGAAACCAGGTCCTGGGCCAGCAGCGGATGAGTCCCCTGTCTGGGGACGTGGCCAAAGTCACGGGGCTCACATATATCCTGCTCCTATCCCACACAGGCTAAATCTGGTGGCCTCATTGTCCCTGGTGCTAAAGAGCGCCTACCCCCTCTGAGGACCCCCTGGTTTCTCGGAAGCCTGCCCCGCCATGCATGTGGCGTGGGGGTCAAGAGACTCAGGCCTCCTGGCTAGCAGTCCCAGCTGTCTCCTCCCCAGCCGTGGAGCCTCAGGCAAGTGATAGGACCTTCTTGTGCTTCAGTTTCCTCAACTGCAAAGTGGAGGTGCTGATAGTGATAACCCCTTGCAGCTGTTGTGAGTAGAATTTGTACATGAAAAGCACATGAGCCCCCCACTCTCAGCGGCCAGTCACCCTGGGTCTCCCAGGTGAGAACCGGGGACACACACTGACCTCTCTCAGCATCTGTGTACTTGTGTAGAAGCAGAACAAAGAGCCAGGTTTAGGGGGCTCAGGATTCACTAGGAGGCTTGTAAGAAATTAGCCCTGGGGCCATCACCCTCCATCACCCCGATTCTGATGAGAAGCCCGGGGTGCAGCCCTGGGAGCTGCAATATTGACAACTTTCCAGGGGACTCTGATGCAGGTGGTCTGAGGACTGCTTCCTGAGAAGACATGGGGGACCTTGAGACGTCCCTGCCCCCTCTTCCTCCACAGAGCCCTGCCTGCCTCTCACCCGGGGGCAGCCCCTCGGCGCTATGTAAATGCCCTGTTTCGCCTGATTTCCGTCCTGCACAGAAAGGGTCTGACGGTGTTGGGCTTCAATACCACCTCTGCTGGCGAGATCTCACTTAGGTGAGGTGATAAAAAGGCAACAACCCAGAAGGGAAAAAGATCACAGCATTGGGACTGAATTCTCTGATGAAAGAGAAAGATGAGACGCGGCCAGGAACCCCAGCCCTGTTCCGCTCCGCGTGCCTCTGTCTAGCATGTCTGCTCATGTGTGTAGCGTGGTAGAGAAAATCAGCTCTTTGGGATGATTTGGAAACAAGTCACAGAATCGCCATTCCACCCCTTTTAAAGCTCTTTTTTGGGGTGGGGGGTGACCATTTAGACATAGCCTAGGGCAACCGGGGGATCCAGGTGAAGTTTAAAAAAGTCATGACTGGAAAGGGATTTGCATTTACCTTAAGAAATCAAAAATGGAAATTCAGGATACCCGGCGCCTATTCACAGATCATGAAACCATCGACACAGCAAACTCCACGCCCGACCGTGTTTACCGCAGCGCTGCTGCCACACAGGCCGGGCTTGGGACAAGCCAGGGCGGAGGGCGGCCCAAGGGCTGCAGGGTTGGACCAAGAACATGGGGATGGTCCGCCCAGGATGCTTTGCAGCCCCTGGGGACGGGGAGTGCGGCCAGTGACAGCTAACTGGAGGCAGTTTGAGGACATGGTGCTCAGGAAAGCAGGTCAGGATGACAATATAAACACTGGATACTCAGCGGATCATTGGACAGAGTAAAATGCTTACAAAACTAGCAGACTTTAAGAAAGGAAGTGAGGTTTCTGGGGTAAGTGGAGGGGGAGGGAGAAAGGGCTGGTGGGGATCATCTGAACAGCACTGAGACGCGCCATAGCGCGAAGCCAAGAACCACTCTCTCCGCAGGCCCGTGTGCTGCTTGGGCTGGGGTGACGGTGTCTCCATCTGCTCCCTCCTGCATTTCAGAGCTGTTTCCCCTCCTGGGGGGCTGACTGACTCCCTAGGTCACGGGTTCCCAGGTGACAACCTGGAGCCTCAGAGGGTCATTTGCCTCTGGAACTGCCCCACTTCCATCAAGTCCTGCTGCCTCTGGGCACTAGACTAATCAGGAAGGTTCTGCAAAGTTTCCTTTAAGAGGGAAAGGATGAGCAAAGCCACATTCCCAGCCATTAAGTCACAGTGCTGATTTGGGGGGCAATCTCCTAAAAACTCATAGAACGGTATTTGTCTAAAAGCACACAGGTGGGCCGCCGGCGGGTCCCCATGCAGATCCGGGGCATGGCTTTAAGGCTCCACCAGGCTGACATCCGAGGAGGGCTGACGGCTGCTGGCCCAGGCAGCCGGCTCCCACACCTCCTGCACGTTCAGGGCCAATCAGATGAGTGGGTGCAGGCACATAGGCCAAAGGGGAGCGCCTTTCTGACAACCTTGGCAGCAGGCGGATGGGGGCCATGAGCACAGCAGCTGTCCCTGGCCCGCATTTGCCTCCAGGAGGTGTTCCAGGAGGTGTCAAAGAGAAGAGGAAGCGAGTTAGGACTGCACACAGGAGAGCTTTTCAGGGTGGAGGTGGGCCGTGGAGTGGAAAAGCCACCCCCAGCGCTTGATGTGGTTGCCTGGATCACCCAGGGGTACAACCCGGGGAATTCTCTGAACCCGGGGGTGGAGGGGGGGGGAGACCCCGCGACCTCCTTTCTAGCGGCGACCTCCCACCCACGCGGTGGAAAAAGAACGACTTCTTGCATGACGATTTGCACTGAAAAAATAAAGGCAAATGAACCCGTCCTGGGAGGCCCATGTTTTCCTGGAGTTTGCTCAAGCATGGCCCACAGCCCTGCGTGCTGTGGTGGCTGCCTCCTGGGCCAGCCTGGGCCGCGGCTCACACTGTCTGTTTTCCTGAACCAACCATGACCGTGTCGGGAGGAGGGGCTGGAGGCCGTGGCTGGAGTTAGTCTGGAGAAGGTGGGAGGTGGGGCCCAGACTCTCTCCCCGTGGCCCCATGAGCCTCTGCGTAGCTGCACACAGCTCTGAGTGTCGGTGGGAGGTAAAGGACCCGGACTTCTTGGGGACCCGAGGAATTCACACCGGGCTCCACCTTGTCACATGATCCTGTCTTTGTCCTGGGGAGCACGCTTTTGGTTTTCCTCCGAGGTTTGGGGAGGTTACTGGCTTAGAAAGAGGACTCCACATTCCTCCCACTTAGGGCTTGAGTAGGAGCAAGGCCTCTGCATGCTCAGTTGGGGACATCTGAAGGCCTGAGACCTCCCCCCATCACCTGGTGTCTCCATTTTGGAAGGCTGAGAAGGCGGCTCCTTTTTTAAGTGGCCATAGAAGGTGTGGAGTGAGGCAGGACAGGCCCCAGCTCTGTCCACTCTCGTGTGAGCTCTAGCTGGATGGATGTGGTGCCTGTGAACTTGCCCTGTGTGTGGGGTGTGGGGAGACCCACTGTGGCCACCCCTCAGGAGAGGGAGACCAGGCCACAACTGCTGTGATGTAAGGTGGGAGGCGGAAGTGTCCAAGGCCCCCAAGAGGCACCCCGTGCATATACCCCCTGACCTCCTGAACATTCCCTTCTCAGCCCCTCAGGACCCACATAGCCTGCCCTCCACCCCAACTTGGAAATACAAGAGAGGGTGTGGGGATCAGACCTGCCCTGAGTCGGGAGCATGCTGCTTGCTCTCAGCCTCTGCCTCCTGCTTGTGCCATGCTCGCGACAGCCCTGGCCGCTGGCTGAGGACTCTAGCTCTGGAGCCTGGCTCGCCCTGGCGTCTCTGGGCAAAGCTGACTTTTGTCATCCTTGATTAACCAGTGACATGGTGCCCACCTCCTGGAACACCAGGCCCTGTGGTCCTCCCAAGGGCCCCAAGGACTGTTCTTGGGCAGCCTGCTTTTCCTCAGGTGGGGGTTTTCATGTGCACTGATGCTCAGAGAATGGACATTTCTCTGCTTCTTTTATCAAAGGATTGCCTTCCTTTCCAAAGGCCTCATGTTGTTAGCATCTAGAGTCCTCAAGGAGCTAATGATCCCCATGGCAACAGCACGTCGCGGCTGGCGGGGCAGGCTTGGTACCCAGATCTCTCGTTTTCAGAATCAGTCAGACCTGAGTGCTCACAGCCAGTGACACCCATTTCCTCTGTGGGCCTCAGTTTCCCCAGCTATAAAATGAGGACATTGAGCCAGCTGTTCTTGAGGGTCCGTCACCAAACGCCCATCCTGCCGTGCCCACCAGGGCACACCTCTCCCCCAGCATTGACCTACGAGCACATCCACCACAGAGCAAGCGAGAAAGAAGACCCGGCCCTCTTTCGTGCCCACCGCCCCGTCTCAGCGATTAGCAGTGTCCCCATGCCCCACCTGCCCCAGGCTCACACGGGAGCATCACCAGGACCTGGACTTACCCTCTGGGCTGGGCAGGGGCCTCTCGGGGGGCGCCGGGGTGGATCTCATGCTGTTCCCCATTCCTCTCTCTGCCTGGGCCGTCGAAGTCGCCCGAAGCCTACGGCACAGGAGACACACGGGGAGAGTCAGCCACGCGCCGAGCCCTCTGGGTGGAGAGTGACCTAGTTTAGGGTACATGGCGCATCATTTCACGGCCGCTCACTTCTTGCCGGGAGGGTGTTTTCATGTGCAGATGAGATGGGTGAATGTTGGTTACATTTGTGCTGCTCCGATTCTTTTATCAAGGGGACTACAGAGCAAAACCACAGAGAGGGAAGTTACTGGCAAACGCTGTTGTTGGTGAAAGTTTCCACTCCGCCCTGGCGGAGGAGAGGGGCCGCGGCGGCTGCCGGCGGAGCGGGGTGCAGATGGGCTGGAGCTGCTGGCCTCGACTCCTGGCCTGGTGGGCTCAGAGCACTTAGACCCCAGGGGTTCCAGGGTTTTGCAACCACAGGGAGTGAGGATAGGGCACTTTCTGCTTCCACCTTCTCTCTGCTGCTTGAGTTTTTCAGCAGGCTCTGACAAGCAGTGGAAGAGGAAACCCCCGACAGCGCCATGTATTTGCTGCAGGCGTAGCAGGTTCGTGCGACTGTGACTTTTTGTGATTGTAAGTCACTGCACTCCTGACCCCATTTTGCGGTAAAGGAAACTGAGTCTCTGAGAGGGATGGTCGCATGGCACGGAACCCGGACCTGGGGCTGAACGACTGATGCTAAGTCTCTGGCTTGTTCCATGACAGTTCTGAGGGTGGGCTCTGGAAGGAGACCCCTGGGTTCAAGTTTTGGTTCTGCAGGTGCGAGCTAGATGAACTTGGACACATTACTGAGCTCATCCTGCCTGTTTGGGCGAGTCGTTATAGCACAGGGGGGTTGTGGCTGCAACAGGTCAAGCACAGGAGATGCTCAGGACAGAGCCCGGCAGGCCATACCTGCTGGTATCGCAGAGACGGGGTGTTTTCTAGTTGCACATGATGATAAACTCATTTCTGGGCCCTCATGCAAGTATTTCAGGGACACATGCTTGTTAGTGCCCTCTCAGGCTGCTGTCACTGCCTCCTCATGGGGACAAAGGGCATCAATGGGGCAGCGAGTGGGTGTCCAGCCCAGATAGTCTGGCCTGCACCCCATTCTGCATTGGCCTTTTAGCAACAGGACATATGACCTTGAAAGCGTTCAAGATCAGCTGATCCAGTACCCTCACCTCCCCCCCGCCCACTGGCCTTGACTCCATCTTCCATGTCTTACAGGTTTGGGTTTTGGAAAGGTCTATGATCTCAGAGCAAGTAGGGAAGGGAAGTCTGTGTCACTTCCTAATTTGTGAGGGACAGGAGAGGGGAAGGTGGAATATCTGCATATTAGTAAACAAGTGGAACCAAAGTGAGTGTTTTTTGGAAAGTTAATATAATTTAACTTAAATTATCAATCTAGTTAAACTAATTACTTAAGTTGTTTATCCATCATAACACAAACTGGTAGACTGTAATATCACTGTACTTCAATTGATTATAAGATACAATTATAAAAACCATAAACTCAAGATGCACCACAGAAGATGTGGCTGAGCAGGCCTCATGTCCAAAGTTAGGGGAGCACCCCTGTGCTCTGGTTCCACTGGCTTCTGTGACTGACACATTGGGGGGTCCTAAGGACCAGGCCCCTCCCATGTCCCTTCCTGGCGAGGCTGAGCCCTGTTTCCTTCATCTCACCACCTGCTCCCCAAATGCAGCTGAGGGGCTGCCTTTGGCCTTGGCGGCAGCTTCACATGGACTGGACAGGTTTTCACATCACTAGGGGCCCCAGTCCCCAACCTGGAGCGGCACTCAAGAAAATGAGCTCCCAGAAAGTGCTTGAAAAACCACACCAGGTGGATTGAAGCCTCATTCCTTGGGTACAGCAGGCACCTAAGCATCTCTGGTGTGGGGCGCCAAGCCAGCGCCCAAGAAAGGCAGCCTTGGGGTCTCACTATGGACCTCTGAGCCCCACCTTGCACCTTTCCATGGAAGGAGCAAAGCTGGTAGCCTCTGACCCTGTCCCAAGAGCTGGGGGTCCCATAGGAAGTAGCCAGCTCACCTTGTAGGGTGCACAGCTTCCTGCCCCTTCTGGGCTACACCTGGAAAAACCTGGACCCATTGTCCCTCAGCCTTCCTGGTGGTCCCTTAGGCCTCTGGGCTGCTGGACAGGACAGTGCTCTTAGAACAGGCTGAGGGGGGCCAGCAGCTCCCCCTGCTGTGGTCTCTGAACCCTTCACATCCACCTCACCCCTCTGGCTACCAAGAATCCCCACAAGTGTCCCCATACCACAATGCCCTTGTCACTCAGCTCCCCGAATGGTATCATCCTGCTCCTGGCAGTGGACGGGTCCTTGGGTCAGGGTTCATTACAGACTGGGGAGTGTCCTCATCTCACCCCACTAAAAGCTCACCTCACACCCACAAACCCATTAATTCCCTGCAAGGGAATTAAGCCTCCTATAAAGCGTCTTAGCCTTAGCCCCCTGTAAGCCCTCCCTCCCCCCTACAAGATATCCCCCCCCACAAGCCCACCTTACCCCACACCATTTAGAAAAACCCAGAAGGTGATAATAACCCCTGTGGTCTTCACTGCTTCTTTAATCTCTAAGAAGGAGTTAACTTTTCTGAGAAAGGCTTTGCTTGAAGAGAGAAAATCCCCCCAGAGGATGAGACTAGGAGTCCCCCTAATGAAATCGGGGAACAACGTGATTTAATCTGTGACAGTTTCATGCGGTGGCTGGAGCTAGGGGAGAGGGTCTGAGACGCATAATTGCTTCCAGGAAGAATAAAGAAAGGGCAGGGGAGAAACGAGGTCACACACGCAGGCCCCAGCCCGCGGGCTCCCTTCCGTGTGAGGTCAAAGCATGGAGCTGGTATCTGCGTGTTGGTTTCCCCCGCCTTTGGACCGGTGCCAGCGCCTGTTGTGGTGGTGGCCTCGCTCACCCTTCTGAAGCATGAAATTAGTGGAAAAGGTGAATTCCGAAGAGAGCACAGTTCCCTTTGAATTCTAACAATGGCGCCTGGAAAATTATTCAGAAAGAACTCCCCTCGCCTTTCTTGTGAAGTCCCAGAGACGAGCCCCGCCCGTACCTTTACTTCCTCAGCATCGAGGAAGGCATCCTGCGGCCTCCCGGCCCCCAATCTGCTGGGCAGCTACACGCGCCCTTGCATTTCATCTGGCCAGCCCCCGGGAGGCAGACCTGCCTCTGTCGCTGCGTGCGGAGGGCCAGGCCAGCTCACCCGCCCTGGCTCCTGGGCCCAGAACCCCGCAGTGCGGGAAGCAGGACGCAGCTTCCTCCCTGACTTCAGACCCCACGTCCCTTCCTCTCCCAGGGACGAGCTGCTTCTGCCCACCCTGGTCAGTGTGGACGCCTGGCATGGAGAGGTCCCGCCTGAGGGAGCTGCTTTCAGGGATGTGGGCGGTGCCTGCCCTCAGTCCCCCAGTTGAGTTCTGCTTGACCCGATGGGGCCCTTGCGCCGTGTACTCTGAAGGTACAAATACACCAGCTCAGGCTTCTCGGAACTTTCCTTTCCCGGGCAGCATCCCAGAATAGTCCCAGGCCCTCGCCCACGGTGGGCTGCTGGCGGGCAGGCCAGGTGTGGGAGAGCAGGGTATCCTGAGCCCCTTCATAGGATGCCGAGGGGAGGGGGGCTTGAGGACCCCCACAGGGCAGGTCTGGACCCTAGTAAACCAGGAACAGGTGGACGCCTTGGCGACAGTGGGGGCTCGTCTGAGAGCCTAGGTCGGGAGTCACCCTTCCCTTTGGCCTGCGCAACTGCTCCGAACAGCTGTCCATTCATTCACATGGCCTGCTTTTGAGCGTGACGCCTTGTGTGGGGGACATCTCCATCCACCCATCAGAACCCCAACAACAGCAGTAACAAGCAGAAGCCCCCACCCTCACCACACAGGCATTGACTTAAGCCCCACACATTGATCATGCTCCTAACAACCGCGCATCCTGGGTGAGACCACTGCTAACTTGTCTGAGGTTGTCCTCCCAGAAGGAGGTAAGCTGGTTCTAGCCAGGCCTGCCAGCGCCAAACCTGACCTCGTTCACCGTGAAATGCTGCCTGACTTCCTTTCCCCCCACCAGTCGCCACTGTCCAGTCTAAGAGGCCACAGAACAGTGTTTAAAACTCATCAAGGCAAATTCTGGACCACAAACTTTTGGGTCGCCTTTCATGCAAGGACATGGAGGTCCTCAGCACGGACATCCTGCCTGGGATATCACATGGCAGTGGCCGGAAGCCACATCCCAGTGCCCAGAAGGGCCAAGAGAGAGGCCAGTTAAGGCTGCTCAAGACCCAGCTGTCACCACCACTCATGGACGCCTGGTTGGTCAAAGGGCAGGAACGAACTGTGGGGAATGTTCTCCGACCTTTCAGGGCATTGTGTTAGGGAGCTGTTAACACTAATGTTTGTGCAGCAAAAACAGCAAACAGCTGTGCTCGTACTACCCCTAATTTTATACAAGTGTGACCTGCAAATAGATGTAGAGAGAAAAATGTTAAGGAAATTCTCCAAAATGTTTCCTAGGTCTCTTTCTCTCTCTCTGGGTAGTGTTTTTATAGATGAATTTATCAACTTTTTCTTTACATCTTTCTAAAATTTCCAAATTTCCCCCGCCTGCATGGATTGCATTTATTATCAGAAGAAGCTGGGGAGAAGGGAGACTTGCAGGGGTCTTCAGAGCAGGCGGGTCATCAGATCCCGCTCCTCACTGCTGGCTGTGTGTCCTTTGGCAAGTCACTGCACTTCTCTGAGCCGCTGCTCTTAAACCCATAAATGTGGGCCATGAATACATGGCCAGCGGGGTTCTTGTGAAGCGTGAACTGCAGTCATCTCTAAAGCATCTCTAAGATGGGTATGGTAAATAGAAGCTAAAATGACCAAACCTGGACCCCTTGGGAAATCGGTGGCCAGACAACTTAGAGTGTGAGCTTGAGCAAATCATCCTTCCTTGGGTCCCCCCAGCGTTCTGCAGTGTTATGGGAAAGGTTGGCCACAGTTGCTAATGGCCCTTTGCCTCCACCGTACCCTGCTG